TCAACCCCAGAGTGAAATGTTCCTCAGCATCCTGTGACAACTGTCACAAGAAAGAGTAAGCGCTGGACATGGAATGGAGGCCATGTAGGCAGGAAGTTAGTTGACTTTATCTCAAATGGTGCCAAGAGTGGAGTCCAGGAACACTTGTGCTTAACAGACGTTGAACCAGTCCAGGCCCAGGTCCACTCAAGCCCCCTCTCAGCCTCCCCTGCCCAAAGGCTCAGGGGAGGTGACAAAGCTTGGCTCCACCAGGGGCATGGGGATAGAGTTGGGCTTCCAGCATCAATTTTTTGGAAATTAACTGAGGATGTAGGAATGTGGAATAAAGTCAGCATTTTGCTGGAAATCTGCAGCAGCTCTCCCCATCCTAGTGCAAAAACAGAGGGCGGTTTCACCAAACAAGTTGCAGAATCTTAGGGCTGGAAGTGACCTCAAGGGTCAGTGTAGCCCCCTGTATAAATACAGGATGAGCTATTCCTAAACCATTCCTGAAAAATGCCTATCCAGCCTCCTCCTGAAAACCTCTAATGAAGATGCTACAGCTGCCCTAGGTAGCTTGATTCTTAGTCCTAATGGCCTAACAATCAAGTGAGGGAGGAATGGTTTTGTTTTGTTTGGGGTTTGTTTGTTGGGGTTTTTCTGGGGGGTGGGGTTGATTTTTATCTATATCTGCTTCAGTGCAGTTTAAATTCATTGCTTTATATCTTGACTCCTGCAGCAGGGGCAACAGTTGTTCTCTCTCTTCTTTATGGCAGCCTTTCCAATATTTGAAAAAACTGCTCTCCTGTTTCCCCTTAATCTCCTTTCTCCAAACTAAATAGGCACAGTTCCCTCAGTCTTTCCCAACTTGCATTCCAATCCATTTATCCTCTTTGTCACCCACCCCTCAATCCTCTCCAGTGTTTATGTTCTCCTAAAATGCAGAACCCAGAATGTCACATAATGCTCCAGCTGAGGCCTAGCCAGAACAGCATGGCATGGCACCATTAACTCCCACATGTTTTGCATGCCTCCACTACTACTGTTACACATACTCCAAAAAAAACTTACTTGCTTTTTGTTTCCTTTTACAGCTGCATCACATTACTGACTCATGCCAAGTCTGTAATCCATAATAATCCCCAGGTCCTTCTGGCAATCCTACTCCTAGCCAATTATATCCCATTCTGTATTTGAGGATTTGGTTTCTCTTCCCTAGGTATAGTGTTTTACATTTGGCTTTGCTGAATTTCGTTTTGTCATCTATAGTCCCGTTCTCTACTCCAACAAGATCTACAATTCGACTCCTAGCTTCAAGAGTGTTTACAAGCCCTCCCAGTGTTTTGGGAGCAGGTTGCATTCCACTATAGTGTGGGGTACTCTTCTTCCTAGGGCTCCCTTAGCAAATATTAGCCAATTACTGCTCTCCCATAGCAGTGGCAGGGCACTGGCAGTGCCCTTGGCCACCCTGCCTTTTGTCATGGCAAGCTATAGCAGGACCTTGGCATTTCTCATTTTGTCTCTGTAGTTGTGTGCGAGGGTCTGCAGTTGGGGATTCCTTCAATTAATGACTGTCTGTAAACACAGGGGACTGGACTAGAGAGCCAGAAAGCCTCTTCCAGTTCTGTCCCCACATAAATAAAGCAAAGATTAATGTCAAGCTTTTAGGAACAGGAACTGGAATAAGATTCTGGCCTACAGAAAAGTTCTTCAAAAACCTTATTTCTCAGCTACAGGGTCATCTTTAGCACCCAGAAGAGCAAGACACTACAATCCAGTCAGAAAAGGCAACAAAACAAACAACCTTACATTCCAGTTTTGGGAAAAGCACTCACATTATATTAAAGACTGATAGCTGGAAGACTTTCTTCCCAAGCACACAGCAAGAAAACAGTCTGTAGTAGATGCTCTCATGATTCATAATCACTATTTGCATCAGGTGTCCTGGTTTCATTTTCAATCTGCTCATGTAGCTGCAACTTTGATGGTTAACACTTTGACCACCCATGTTCAGAAAACATGTCAGTGCTATAGCTTGGCTGAAGATGCTTCTTCCACATGTGAAAGCACAGTAAGTAGCAGCCAGATTTGCAACTGTGTCTGCTTTATGTTTTTCTGTCACAATTATTTCTCTTGCCCCATTACCCCAGGCTTTGTTCACAAGACATTTTCTATGAAAAGCCTTGCTGCAACCAAATGCAATATTAGGATTAAGTGTTTAGTTAAATTAGGTTATTTCTGGCAAACCCAAAAGAATTACTAATAGATCATTGGTTCAATTATATCTGGTTACTTTATCTGCAAGGGCTAGCCCAGGAGGCCTGCCTTGCCAGATATATGATATTATCTATATACATCCTGTAGAAACATCCTTATTTCCTCAACAAGCGCTCTCTTCTGGTTTTATAACCTTACTGAGTCCTCAGTGGGAGAAGATATATTCCACTAATGAAGAGTAACTTAATTTTTTCATAGTGCTACATGTAGATAAATCTATCTAATCCTATCAATTGCCACAAATTTTGTTAAATGTATTTTCCTCTTTCAGTATTGTTTTTTCCTTGTGTCATACACTTCCCTACTACACAGAATACTCCTACTGAGCAGCTTTTCAGCAAATCTGCAATCCACGCCAAACTTCTGTCAAATTTCATGCTTTTACCAATAGGCTGAAAGTACCATATATACTCAAATAACATGAAGAAAATAGCTAATCCTCTAACATTCGCATACAAGAAAGAAAATGTATTTAATAAAGTTATCTTTAAACTGCTGCCAAAAGCAATGTATGCTCAGTAATGGAAACCAACGATGAAGTTGATTAAATGCAACCAACACCGGGTATAATTATAAAACACATGGCCCATAAGGGGCAAACATACTGATGAGAACTTTTTTTTTTTTTGTTACCCTTACAATTTTTTTTTTTTTTTTTTTTTAAAGGGCGGTAGTTTCTTCCACAGGCACCAAACCTAGAGGTACCACAATATCAGACCAGCACCAAGAGGGCCAGAGCCAGACCTGACATCCCCCCCTTGGTGCCCAAAATGCTAGATCTTAGCCAAAAGTATAAGATGCTGATGGGAACATGTCACAAGGATAGGTTAGTCCAGCCCATCTGAATAAGATATAGGGTAGTGCACAATGTGCTCAGTCCCCCTCAGCACTGATTTTTTTTTCTTAGTCACGGTGAGCCACTTCACTGAACATATTTCATCTTCTTCATTCCCACAGCTGAGCTGTACCTTTCTTTTCTCATTTCCAACAATTCCTCTTTCTTCACCAGCCTTAAAATGTCTGGCAAACATCACCAAATGGGGCCCAAAACAGTTCACCCAGAATTCTTCTGTCAACCCCTCTCTCATCCTGTTGCACATGATTAGTGTGGGCCTCCCCTCCCGGAGGTTGAGGCAAACCAGGCTGCCCTGCACCTCATCTGTACATACATTTTTTGGAGGATCCCAGGACTCATGACAAGAACACACAGTTCCAGTCATAAGTGGGGGTGCTAATTAGCACGTGGATCCTTTGGCAAGGCGAGGGGGGACACATGTATCTGGAGCACATACACACATATGCTTAAATTTTATACCAGCCAAGATAACTAATATTAAAGAGGAGATCACATGAATTAAACATGTAGGTAGTAAGGTTTTTATTAGAAACTGATTTCAGATTGTGTGTCAGTGCCCTCCCATGAGTGGCTATGATCACTGAGCAAACAAGTTAACAAATGTCCACCCCAAGTTACCTTTGAGCTCAAAGTCTCAGACTCTGATGTACAGGGACACTTCCCCATCCTAGTGGGAATGGGCAGACTGGTTGAAAGCACAGACAAAAGGGGGTCTGAATAGCACTGCTCACCTAGGGGTGTGTCCACCAGAATTGCATTGTAGAGCTCTGCAGGGGTCTGGGCAATATTCACAGCTTCCATCTGCTCAAAGCTCCCCAGCGGGTGGCACTTGGGCACCAGCTCAGAGATGGAGCGCTGATGCAGAGTCCCAGTAATCAGCAGGATGACATTATCAATCATATAGCTGTACCTGGTGGAACACAAGAATGAGCATGTTACAGATGGAGCACTAGTGCAAAGAGGCACCACACCCACTGGAAACAACACCAAGCTGCTTTTGTTCATTCAACCTGAAGGCTTTCTAAACAGATGCCAAGTGATCTAAACAGATGTCAAACAGATCCCACTTCCACAGGAGCCAAATGAGCTGCCTCAGCAGTATCCTAGGTTTTGCCAAACAAGGAAAAAGAAGCCAAACATTGTATCAAAAATGTAGACCAACTCCAGATTGCTCTAGATTTTTGTCCCCCTATACATCTGTCCCCACCAGCTTCCCTCCACTCTCCTTGTGCTCAAGCCACAGAGACCTTTTTACATATAGTAGCGAACTCTCATTGTGTCTGCTTAAAGCACCACCTTTGTTATGCCAGCAGGAACGAGGCTGAGAAAGGCATGCCTTCATCCCTTAATTTGGGTCTCATCACTGCTTCTAGGGTAGCACCGATATTATTTTACAAGCATTGCTGGAAGAAATGTGGTGCTCCTGCAACCCTGTTCCAAGCCTGCCTTCTGTATCCTGTGAGCAGTTCCACTGGGGGCTAAGCACTATACAGCCTTATTAATATCTGTTAAGGAGAAACTCATGATTAGTCACCACCACATTGAAACCTTTAATTTCAGTCCCAAAGACACACAGGTATAACCAGAAGTTAAAGAACCACTGAGAGGAAATCCCCAATTCGGCTTGTAACAGGATGTCTGACTACAGAGCTCATAATGGGTTCTTCTAGTCTTGAACCATGGATCAGTTATGCTTGAGGTCTTGTTTTGACTAGAGGTGCACTGATACATTGGTTCATGTCGTATCAGCACTGATAAAAGCAAAATTGACACCATCGGCAATCAGCATTTTTTTGGCTGACATGGCTGATAATTTTGCCGATAAATGCTGCATGCACTTGCGCAACCCAGCAGCTTGGAGAGCAGCAGTCTGGCTGGTAAGTCTGTGGGGGAAAACGGGCGGGGGAGGAGATAGAGGTCCCTGTGGTGAGGGAGGGAGTGGGGCTGGGGCTTGTCCAGGAGTGCGGGGAAAGCAGCTCCCATCTCTGGCACACCCTGGGGGAGGCATGGAGGGGCATGTGCCCCCAGATCTGTGCGCAGAGCAGAGGCAGGCTGCACACTAGGTTCTACACCACATGGCACTGACTCCAGATCTGCATGGGACGCCATGTGCCTGCCGCCGCCAGGCAGGTAGAGGTACTCAGTCAGTGTGCAGTAAGCACATGGCATCCTGCATGGCTCTGAAGGCAGCGGGGTGTGGGGAGGTTCTTGCCATTTTATGCACCCCGGGGCAGGTGTGGGGGGTACGTGCCCCATGGATCTATGCATAGGGCAGAGGCGGACTGTCCGCTGGGCTCTGAACCATGCTGTTGCTGCCATTGCCTCCAGACCTGTGCAGGACACCATGTGCCTACCGTGCACTGGCTGAATACCTCTGCTCACCCGGCGGTGGTAGACACATGGCATCCCACACAGGTCCAGAGGCAGCACCATATGGTGCAGAGCCCAGTGGGCAGCTCACCTCTACACCATGCACAGATCGGGGGGGGGGGGGGGGGGGGCCACGGGCTGCAGCATCC